TGGTCATTCGTTAAACCAAGCAGTGTGAAATGAATTGAATATAGAAGCCACCCGGAATTGGCACAGTCAAGCAATCATAAAGTTCATAATTTCCATTTTATTACTCCTCGTGATGTTGGTCCATACGAAGTCAAACAACAGCCGTTTTACGCTCACGCTTGCCTTTATGGGAACAAATATGGAATTTCATTTAATTGCGCCACCGTCTAGACAAACTAGCGTCGACCACGAATGTGAGAATGTGTGTGTTTTCGGTGCTGTTTTTTGTCAGTAGCGCGAGAGATATTGTGCGGGGCGTATGAGTGACCAATAGAATAAGTGTGTAATTTTGCATGCTGGGCGTATAAGTGACTAACCGGAGCGATGGTTTGTTGTCAACTACCAACTGTTCACTGCGTACAAGTAGCAGCCAAAAATATGCACATACTGTTTATATATGTATAAGGTAGTGTGTGGCATTTAAGTGTGTGACGCAGCATATGAGTGTTTGCTAGCAAAACAAAGTACGTTGCATATGTTTCTATGTGAATGTGCGAGTGCTTTGCGGGGTGCATGAACTATTTATATAATACTACTTATACACGTATATTGTCAAGAATCAAAAAAAAAAAATATATATATATCGAACAAAACACATTCATTCACAAATCTTGGTAAATGTAATGTGTACAATTGTATCTATGATGAGAATTTGCTTCCATGAAAATTATAAAAGATGCGGTCTAAAGGCCACCTAAATTTGTTTGGTGGTGCTTCAATGAGTCAACACAGCAACTAGCAGAGAACAAGCATGATAAAGAAAAAAACACATTTATTTATTTTCTTAGAGCGGGTATTATATATTCTAACCATTTTCTTTTTGGTTCATGTTCTTGCTACTTTACGCACTAAAAACATAACTTTTTCGCTTTATGTTCCAGCTCATTATGCCAATCGACGCCGGAATAACTTTATTTCAGTTTCTGCTTTTCCCTCCCAATCTACTAAGTAGTGCCACTAGTATCTTGTTGTTCCATCTTTCCATTCATACTGTATTGTCGCCTTTCAGTCGCGAGCGATATCATTGGGTATACGACATTGACATGAGAATGAGTTTTCATATCTCAATGCTCTAAACTATAGCTTAAATTTTCTTTGACTATTAGATAGATTCTCACATCGCCCACATTGAGCAGGGTCATTGAGTTTCGTTACAGTATGTAATTATATGTGGAGGTGTGAGTTTGTTGTACTAGCGCTTTTTTCCGTACTTTATTTGCTATTCGAGAGCTTGAGTTTTTGTTTGGAGAATAATTGAGGTAGAGGGGTGGATAAAACTACTTATAATTATTTCGGAATACAAGTTTAAGCGATTCGAGATTCATTCTTTCGTTATTGAGTTTTGTACAAGTTAAAAGGGTTTACCGGTACATCATTTATTTTACAGTTAAGCAAGCTGTTCACCTTTAATATTTAAGAGAAAATAAGTCTTTATCTTGAGTTAGAGTTCTCAAAGTTCTTAAAAATATGTATGCATTCTTGTTTTTATACTCTTTCAGCATGTTGCTACAGTATATAATAGTTTTGTTCACCTAACAGTTATTTGTATCACCACAAAACAATCGATATAGGGTTGTATAGGGTATGTATATAAGTATGATAAGGGTGACTAGACGAGTTGAAATCCCAGTGAATGTCCGTCTGTCCGTTCGCCCGTGTAAAAATTAAGATATCTTAATAAAACTTGGTACACATGTTCCTTTTTCACAAAAATGAGAACGAGTTCGCAGAACGCCATTAAACGAAAGCTTATAAAGAACTAAATTACATAAGATATAGAATAGTAATTTGACATCAACAACAACGTCAGCCTCGAAATCCAACGCAAAATATCTCTTGCCAACATGTGCTACTTCGGACTACGTAAGCAATTGATAAGTAAAGTCCTCTCTCGACGAACCAAAACAAAACTCTATAGATCACTCATTATTCCCGTCTTGCAATATGGTGCAGCGGCATTGACGATGAAAATATCTGATAAGTCGATGTTGCGAGTTTTCGAGACAAAGGTTCTCCACGGCGAATATCGCATTCCATGGAACGATGAGATGTATGAGATATACGACGACATTGACATAGTTCAGCGAATCAAAAGACAGTGGCGTGACAGTGAATGGGCGAAAATACTCCAGCTCTGAAAGTATTCGACGCAGTATCCGCCGGGGGAAGCAGAGGAAGAGGAAGACCTCCACTCTATTGAAAAGACCAGGTGGAGAAGGATCTGGTTTCTCTTGTAATCTGCAGTTAGCGCCACGTTGTGAAAAGAAGAAACGACTGGCGCCGACGACTTTCTACGCCAATAATAAAGAAGAAGAAGAATTTGACACAGGGGATCGCAGTAGTATGCGGCACCTGTGGGATTGATTTCTTGAACAAATGGACATGGCAGAACCCCGTTTATAACACGTTTACCGCACATATCTCCTAAACCATAAAAGCTACAACAACCAAATTCGTCTAGAGCGACTAAATACTTTCTTACTTGTTTTTAAATACAAGAGGAAAATTTAGTTTCTTTAATAATTTAAGGAGCTATTGACTGTGTTCTGATATTTTTATGGATTCGAAATCATATGTTAAACTTTTCGTTTAAATAAAAACTAAAAGTTTAGTTTAATTAAAATTATATTCTCGATGACAGTGGGTTAAGGTTCAAAAGTGCCAGGCAACCTCAAATTGCAATAAAGCACAAGGGCACACATATTGTACATTTGCACAGACCTGAAAGTTACTCATACGCCACCGCAATTCAGCAGCTTTCAAACCCGCTTAATCATATTTGCTGTCAATGTATCCAGTAAACGGGGAAAACAACTTTATAAATGGCATACCGAAATTCAATAAACTAGAGAGAATGAAATGTAATTTAATTTCACCAAGGTGAATTCGAGAAGAGATCATAATACGGTTGTACATAAAACGATTAATATATGTGTACTGAGCGAATGAAACCTAGTACAAAGCTGTAGTGCACAAAAATGTTGCATGTATATCGATAAGTCCTATGCGTGTGAAAGCATTTGCGAATAACTCTAACCATAGTAAATTAATGGATTTTGAGTCGACTAAATCAGTTATAGATGCATTTGCACAACAAGTTAAGTCAGTTAGCAATGTTAGCAATGCTATACATCTTTGAAAGGTCTTGATTTAACCTACAAAACGACAATATACATGATTAGTTTGGGTATTGTTTTCAACAGATATAGACGTGTTAACATGGAGTTCACTAACGAAGAAATTCGCGCTATTTTAAAGTATTTCTACGTTAAAGGCAAATCTGCTAGAGGAACGTTCCGTGAGATGAATGGTGTTTTGGAGGATGGTACTATATCACTTCGAACTGCGGAGGAATGGTTTCGATGATTCAGAGCATTAGAAAGGGACACCATGGATAGGGTAGCCGGCGAAAGATCTGTGACGACGAATACCGATCAAATCATGGAAAACATCCAGTTAGACCGGCATGTGGCATCTCGTTAGTCACCAAACCATTTTAAACCATCTGCAAAAGGCTGAATACACAAAAAAGCTTGATGTTGGGGTGCCCCATGATTTGACGCAATTCAGAATTGTATTTTGGCAGCTGTTTCGATAGTGAACGAAAGTTATTGAGTCGTTTGATGGACGATCACTGGTGCTAATTTGGCTGCTTGCCTGTCGTGAGTAGGTTGCGTGCATTCGATGATGGTACATACTTTCCGGCTGTGGCCGTCTTCCACTCATATCAGCGTTTCCGCTTCGCCTTACCGTTGGCTGCTTAAAAACACGGTCAGCAAAGCAATTAACCCAAAGTTCAAAGTTCAAAAGCATCTGAAGATAGCGGAAAGTGCGCGTGAAAATCCACAAATGTGTGTGTATTCAAGTAAAACATCTGCAAATGCTTACATACATATTTACATATGCATCATGTACTGTATATGGACAATGCGTAAAATGTATACATATTTGTACATATATGTATGCACGCAAGCACTGGCAGACTGCAGTTCCTCTGTTCACTTGCCGTTGCAGCAGCTGTTTACTCCATGCTGCTTCTTTAGAAGCATACACACTAGTTTTTACACTTGTTCGTTCAAGCATCGAGTGTATTAATGTTTTTGTATTTTGCAACTGTGGCTTGGCGCGTGCCAGAGCTCCCGTACGTGTCGTTGTCAAAAAATGTTTGACCCCATTTCGTTTGCTTACGACTACACGTGCACAAAAGCGCTCCAACTCTCAGCCACCTACTTCCTCACTCACATCTACATTTGCAGAGTGGACCGGCGGCTACAGTCCGCCAGTCCGTTTAAATCCGCGCATCGGCTGCCTTCTTCATATTTCAATTGCTTACCCTTTTCTTTCCTGAAGCGTCCACTAAAATCCATCCAATGTAAAAGCTTCTGCCCTCTGTCCCTCTGCGGTTACTGCTCAACACTTTAGTTTTAGCTTTAGTTCTTGCTATAAAAGGCGTTGCTGTCCATTATTTTAAAATTTGGCTCCGCTGTTGGATGTTATAAAGGAGTAAACAAAACGAAGGAAACGAAAGAGAAATATTTGCACATAGTTCTAAATATATAAGTACGCGGCGGTTGGCATCTGTGAACCAGTAAACTGACTTGGTTTCAGTGCAGTAGAGCCCTATAAAGCTGCCTCATAAAAACCTATGTGATGTTCGGTATCTCGAGTGGAATGGTATAAATGTAGTTACATTCATGTATAGAATATATATTTTCGAAACCTAAAATTTTTTTACGAAGAAATCAAAATGAGTTTTCACATATTTGGCTTTGTTGTCATTAAACAACAAGCATTAATTTTCACTTAATTGAATTTGGCCATAGTAAATATAAATTAGCTAATCGTTAGGACGAAAAATTTAATATCCACCTCTATATTAAACATTATATCTTTGTTTGCTCGTATTTTGTCTTCTAATGCTCATTGTTTAATCAAAAAAATTTACATTGAAAACATTGAAGCAAAAGCGAAGCGCTTTAAAATGCCGTACGAGTCCATACACCATCATCAGTCATCAGCGCCCAACGGCATGTTGGACTCATTGAGTTTGCAGCTCCGTGATGCGGAGATGCGCCGCACTGAAATTGAGCGTGCACACCAGGTAAATATCAGCGATAAAGTCAAAAGCAAATTACAACTTTAACAAAATTTATGATTTTAATAAACTATTACTGCTTCTTTTGCTGCGTTTTCATTTCGGCTTGGTAACAGGAAACGTTGGCACAAATACGCAATATGTCGAGCAGCAGTCGCCCGGACACAGAAGCTGTTGAGAATCTGCAGTCGCGCGCGCGTGAACTTGAGAAAAAAGTGAGTTGGTAGAGTGTTTAATTAAATTTGTGGCGCGGCACGGGCGCCGAGCTCGTACTGTAGTGAAAACATTTTTCTAAAGCTGATTTCATCTTTTGCGTTGGTTAAGTCAATATAATCAATTTTAACGCTACCAATTTTAGGTCGCTTTGGAAAATGTACGCTGCGAGGAATTGCAAATTGAATTAACATCCGCATTGAAGGCGAAGGCTGCGCGATCAGGCGGTAGCGACCGAAGCAACTATGGCGGTATTTCAGCATCAAGCGCAAGTGCTTCTTCAGCGGCCGCCATATCGGGCACAAGTTCCACTGTCACGTGGGCACCGACAATCAGTCATCAGGATCAAGGCTCTGAAATCGATATAATTATGGCGAAAATTGAACAGGTGAGCAACTGCCAGGCCATGGCATAGCGCAAAAAGCTATTTTCATAGCAATCATCTACATAATGACCCCTCTAAGAAGATTTCGTATGAAGAGATAAATGGATTTATTCATCCCGACGAGCTCATCCGTATGAGAGTTTACTTATCTTTTGATTTGAAATTATAGATAACAGGCATGTTTTCAGTTTTGATTCGCTAAAAATTCAATATGCGTTTTGGAAACAATATCAACCGTTCGTTCTTTACTTCAAAAATAACGCGAAATGTGGAAATCTCAAATTTTTGGGCATTGCCTTTGTAGAAAAACTTAGCAATCTTCTTAGAGTAATGTTTCTAAAAACAAATATGTCCTTAAAGCAAAGATGGACCTCACGATTGAGAAATTAAGTATTAGCCTTTTGAATTTAAAAATTACTCAATTGTGTTTGTGGCTGAAATATAATTTGTATTACATTTGCAATAATTTGCTTTTTTTCTCCAGGATAATCGCGTATTGGCCGAGCTGGAGCAACCCCGTACATCGGCCAAGGGCATGTCTTCGATGCCAACAAGTTCCATATTGAATAACACAAATAGTGAATTTCAAACCATATCAAAAAGCGGTAAGCTATGGTAATATCGGCATATATTCAACATCATAATGAAAACTTATACATTTCAGAATTAGAAGAAGAGTTGAACCGTTATAAGCGAGCAGGTTAGTAAGGATTGTATACTAGCGTATAATTTTTGCAATTACTAACTTTAACAATTTTAAATTTACGCAGTGTTGGGCGGCACAAGCGGCACCGCCGTCGGTAGTTCGGCGCTCACCAGCAGCTATGGTACCGCAGCCACCACCGGTGCTGGTGGCCTACCATCATCGCTTACCTCCACACTGCCGAATGGCGCTAGCGCCATGTCAGCCGCATTAGTTGGTAGTGGAGGCAGTGGCGGTGTTGGTGTTGGCGTTGGCGTTAGTGGGGGTGGTAGTGGCGGCAGTGGTCCAGGCGGTGGCAGCGGCGGCGGTGGTGTTATGGGCCTCTCATCTATATCAGCGCTGGTGCCCAACTCCATTGGCGGCATACCGTCGAGTTTGAGCAGTCATGCCATACAATCGATGAACACGGCCGCGTCCGCCTATGGCGCTGGTCCCACGTCCGTTGAGAAACTGCTAAGCGGAACAAGTGGAATCGCTGGCGGCATTCCACCATTGCCGGTAAATATTCATACGATGAAGTCTATGCCATCAGCATTAAGTCAGGTAAACTATTTTTAATAATGAACGAAACAAATCACAAATTACAAAAATAAAAAAACAAATCAGGAAATCACTTAGTAACTTATTCGAAAACTACTATTGACATCCATATGTATCAATCAAATCGTTATCGAATACAATCAATTTCAATCAGAATAACATTCAATCGTACTAACAAATTCGAATTGGTTTCGCTAAGAATTTCGCAATTTCGTTCTAATTGTTTGATTTTGTATTGAATACYAACTCATCCGCTTGTTATGCGAAAGAGAGCATTAAGCAAATGCAAAAGTTATTGGTAAAACGTCAAATGCCAATAGATTTGCAGCGAAAGCATGACTGTTGACTGAGCGACCTAATTTACGAATTTTCTTAGATTTTCAATATAAATTTGTATCGAAAATTAATTCGAAAAGCTTCAAAAGCTTTCAACATATCATTTTTACGAACGAGATTCAATTTTAATGCTCAAAGAAATATGGCAACACTTTTTAAAATTCCATATGCGTAAAAATATATTTTTTAAGCTAAAAATTTTGCCATCGCTCAAATCACTACATGCTTTCGAAGTAAATGTGTGGTATTATTGTTGTGCAGTAGTTTCATTATTGAAAATAATTTCATATATAATTTATGGCTTACTAATTTCTTTTAAAAAACACAAACAAGTGAGTAACTTTTTCTAATTTTGGGAATGAGTCCTGCGTTTTACAATTTTTTTCACAAGCCATATTCCAATTCCGTATGTTTGTGAAATTCCCTTTCAATCTATTTTCTTGAAAATCTTACGATTCATTTCTAAATCCCTTAAAGAATGTTTCCTTTTTATAATAAGCACTATTGAACATTTAAAAGTTTTTACAAAAAATGTTTAAACGCAGTACTTAGTGTTAGAGTTAATTAATTAAAAACGTATTAAATAAAAACGTAGATTTTATTATTTTTCATAAACAGTCTGTATGATTGTACTTTAGAAATACACACAATTGACTTATTTTTACAAATGATCATGATAAGTGATCTTATGGTGGGTTTAATACTTAATTTTTACATAACCTCTTTATTTATACTGTTCACTAAAGTATAACGACAAGCCATCTTAAAAACACTTCAGCCGTTCGGAGGTGGCTTTAAGACTTTAAGTTCGGAAGGAAGAAAGCAACTATAAAACGGAGATTCAATGTACAAAACAACCACAGACACTGCATCAAAAGTTGAACTTGTCATTGTGTGTATTTCTGAGTCTTTAACTTTTCGGTTTTTATACGTTCAACGTTTACATATATCGTTCATTAATGTACGCATTTATTAAACTTCTTTACCTTTTCAACAATTTGCATGTTGACTGGTCTGAATTCTTAATTATTTAGTTTTGAACTTTATGGATGCTTGTTGTTATGGTGTTTTTAAAGGGTAACGGTTTAGAAAAAGCGGGCAAGGAAGTTTAGCAGTCAGATACTGGTTTTGTTTTTGTGTTTTTGGTATTTGCTTTCTCTCAAGATAACTGGAGGTTGTACTTTGAAGCGGTTGCGCCAAGTTGTGTGTTTAAAACTAAAACTATTTTAATAACGTTCGACTTCAGCGCAGCTCAACGAGTTATTTCATGTTGCTCATTGTGGTGTGTTGAGAAATTGACCTAAAGAGGCGTTTAGTTATGTGTTTTACAAATATTTTGATCACAACACCGCCTATCACTAAATGCTTGCAAATATTAAAGAAAATTGTTCGCTATTTCTCTGCTAAAGTGCCACCTATTCGATAAAATTGTGATTATCAGATATGTATGGGCCGACGCCGACCTCGTGGCTTCAAAGCTTTCAATTTTTAACTTTCTGTTTAATAAACCCTATGTATGTACATATGTATGTTTAGTCTTGTGAGTGTTATGTATGCAAGTTGAAAAAAAAAGTAATATAGATATATACAGTTATCCATTGCATATGATTACATTGAGAATAACGCTTTTCCTTTGATTTTGACTGGACTTGGTATGAGTGTATTTTTATATGCTTATGTGTTCAAATAGCTTTGTTTCTTTCTACTCCCACTTTGCTCTGTTCATTAGTTGCTGCAGAAATGTTGTAGCAGAAATCGCTTAAGTATATCGTTCAAATTACATACATATTCACTTGCATAGTTACTCGTACAAGAGTTGAGAATTACTTTCGTTTACGCTCGCATTAAAACATTCTAACTTCATCCTTCACCCGTGTACGAGTATGTTCATTTGTTTTCGTCTGAGACGACATTTCATATTACAGAATATATAATGGATCTTCACCTAGAAGGACATCAGTAGATACATAAGTATATATTCACATTTCTCGTACATTAATTCGTACATAATCGTATTTAGCAGCATCCTATCTATATTACCAATTTTATACAGACATATTTAGATCTTATGTATGTGTAATAAATATATTGTTTCACACATACATATATACATACTCGTCTCGTACGTAAATATTTTGTCATAAAATTTCCTTCTAACTGAAAGTGAAGTAACGGTAACTGAAAGGAACAATTTTGCATTTCTCTTTCCTTTTTCATATGTGCTGTTGTCTTTTTCATTCTTTCTTTTTTAACATAAATGTTTAAAATAAACGTATAACTGAAAATATTTAAACTGTGATACACCAACCATTCTCTCATCGTTCAACTGTATTGTGTCAATGTAATCAAAAACTTCCTGTTTAAAATCTTTTATACATAAACTAATTAAATACATACATATGTTGTCCTTTTCTGAATATCTCGCTGTCATTTATCAATCAAAAACAAAACTGCGGTGTTTTTCCTTTTTTCTTTTTGTGTTTCTATATATTTGCGCTCTCTCTTTCTCACTCTTGACTCCCAATTTGTGTGTGTGTCTGTTTTTGTGTACTGTGTCCACACCATATACTACTAACCTTTACCAAAATAACTGTGTAAATTTTGAACTCATAAATTTGTATGCCAATTAAACTAAACACAATATTTACTTGATAATATATTAATCACTAAATAAAAACGGAATTACTTCGAAAACTCGCAAAATAACACGAAAACATTGAAAATGAAATTATAAAATAGCGTGGCACAATACAACTGTATAATTTACAGAGCACAACCATGCCCATCTTGTCGTTGAATGCCCATAACATACCGACCGGTACGAGCAGTTACTCTGCACTGGGGCTAAGTGGTGCCGGCACTGTTGGAGTGCCGCCACTGGGCTCGTCGCTGACACATCCCGCCTTGGGTAATATGCTCGATACGAGTACCCTGCTAGGCACTACTGCTTTGTCGGGTTTGAGCGGAGTGGGGGGCGCTTCTTCGTTGTATGGATTGGGCGCTGGTCCCGGCATTGGTGGTTTAAGTGGTCTTACCAGTGGTCTACCTAATTCTTATATCCCACCCTTCATTGACGTGGGTTCAAGCACCTCATATCCCTACTCGTCGGCTGCTCTGCGTACTGCTACGAAAATGAAAATGCTCGATGAGATTGATATACCGTTGACACGTTATGGAAATCGCAGCTCGCCGTGCTCACCGATACCTCCCAGCACGTGGGGACTCGATGAGTTCACTGATAGTTTGAGTGCTTCAATGTTACATAATCGTGGCAATTTGGCATTGGGGGCATTGGATTTGGAAAGTGAGTGTGGTACATGTGGCAAATCGTGTATGGTATATTATACAATGGTATCCTTTGCATTTGCAGCGCGAAATCATAATTTAAATGGTGTTAGTGAACCACAAGTAGACATGTTGGACATACCGGGCAAGGGACGGTGCTGCGTCTTCATAGCGCGTTTTCCATATGATCCACCAGAGTAAGTACGGCATAGTAGTTGTAAAAATGGTTGGTGAAATCAAGCAGTTGTAAACAACTATATATAAGTGCAATTTCAAAACGGTTAGTCCTAAGATGAGGATTAACCCGGGAGCTTAAGGCCGCTTACAGGCTTTTGATGTATAATTCATTATAATTTCTTTTATTTTTTCCGCTTTAATTTTCGCAAAACTAATTTGCACAAGCAGTTTTACTTTTGACACTCTCTATTAGGTTGCCTTTTTATTGACGATTTCTGCATTTACGTATTTAGGGAAGCTGAAGGTGAATTATCGCTTTGCGCTGGAGATTATTTACTCGTTTGGACGAGCGGCGAACCACAAGGCGGCTATTTAGATGCCGAATTGCTAGATGGTCGGCGAGGTCTAGTGCCTGCCTCGTTTGTGCAACGTTTGATTGGTAGTCCTTAATTCACAATGAACTGCATTTTATCAAGTAAAAGCTGGTAATTCTGTATTGACTTGCAGGTGATGATCTTTTGGAATTCCATCAAGCTGTACTGTCGACATTGCGTGACGCCGAGGATGGTTCTATGCAATGTGACACTACTTCGTTGCCCTCGCTGCCCCCTCACAACCCTTTGCTCACACACACCCAGGAGGACTTGGCACGTTTGAGTGAGACGCACACAGATTTGGAACACGATCAAGATGACATAAGTGATAATGGTGAGTAAGCGGTAGCATTTTAGGGTAGAGCATAGCATGCCAACCGATTTATAAATTTAATATATGGGCATAATTGTATGATGATTAAACTTTATTTTGATTGTTTATTTTCTCAAATAATTGATTTAATTTAATTTCGATTGTTTTCCTCTTACCGTTCTATGCTTTTGATGTTTCTTTAATTTGTTTTTTTTTTATTGTAATCTGAATATGGTTGAAACGTGAGCAAGTATACTCCGACATGCGAACTAGCTATATAGGTTCATCGTGGCCATTGAATCAGTTGTTTCTAGGTTCAGCACCAGCATTTGAAGGCTAGTTGAAATTTTACGAAAATCTAATTCACATATGTTAAAGTTTACGCAAATATTAAGTTTAGTAATAAAGCTAGTACACAACTATGTGCAATGTGAGATTACGAAATATTATCAATCGCTAAAGATGCTGTAAAGAATTTGTTGGCCGCAAATTCAATATTTTTAGTCTCCTATTTGATTTTTATTTCATACATATTTGATTTATGTATAAAGCATATGTGGATGTACAGACAGAGCTTTAACTTTTTCGATTTGATAGTTAAGGATTTTTTCTTATCGATGTTTATCTGGTTCGCAGTTCCTGCACCGAAGCACTTAACGTTGGAGCGCCAGCTAAATAAAAGTGTGCTTATCGGTTGGTCACCACCAGAACCAGTAGGCTATAATCTCATTGACAGCTATCATGTCTATGTTGACGGCGTCCTGAAAGTAACGGTAAAGGCTAATGAGCGGACACGAGCGCTTATAGAGGGCGTAGACTCAAACAGGGTAAAAATTTAAAATGAACTTTTCATATATAAATTGTATTATTATAATATTATATTTATTCTTTAACACTCATTACGTGAACACAGCCACATCGTATTAGCGTGCGTAGTGTTACACAGAATCGACAGACATCACGCGATGCAGCATGTACAATGATTATTGGACGCGACACCTCGCATTTAGGACCTTCAGCGGTGCGAGCTTCGCACATTACGTGTTCATCGGCGGTCATATCATGGTTACCGGCCAACTCAAATCATCAGCATGTGGTGTGCGTGAATAATGTAGAAGTGCGTACGGTCAAACCGGGTGTCTATCGTCACACCATTACCGGGCTGGCCCCGAGCACACAGTATCGAGTCACAGTGCGGGCTAAACACTTGCGAGCAGCGGGTGGTCAACCTACACCGGGACGTCCGCAGGAGGAAGCACCGGGTGCGTATGCTGATTTCCGTACGTTGACTAAGGGCTTGCCTGACCCGCCACAGGTGAGTTCGAAGTAGAATAAAACTATTTTCGAACTTAAAATACCCACTTGAATATCTTTTTAGGATATCCAACTTGAGGCTGGTCCTCAAGATGGTACCATTTTGGTGACATGGCAGCCGGTTAACCGGCCAACATCTTCTGGCCCCGTAACCGGCTATGCTGTGTACGCCGATGGTAAGAAAGTAACAGACATTAACTCACCAACTGGGGATCATGCGCTCATTGATATCGGCAAACTGGGCGTATTCAATCCACGTGCAGTCACCATACGCACCAAATCGCGAGATGCGCAATCAGCCGATAGCGCACCCATACTAATACCAAGTGAGTTGCTGAAACTATTTAATAAAAAAAAAATTTATAGTTTGATGTTTTCACTAATTTCAATTATAGATACTGTGCGCAGTGCAGTAGGTCGTCGAGGGCCTCAACAAATGGGCATGGGTCCGCAACAAATGCAACCCGGTGCCCATGGCATGCCCGGTCAAATGAACATGTCCGGCCAACCGCTTCAGCAGCAGCAACATATGATGGGCCAGGATCCGAATCAATATGACCCAAATCAACAAATGCAACATGGACAACAACAACAAACCGGACAACAACAAGGGCAGCCAGGACAACAGGTGAGCTATACCTGTCTCTTATACACATCTAGATGTGTATAAGAGACAGACATATGATGGGCCAGGATCCGAATCAATATGACCCAAATCAACAAATGCAACATGGACAACAACAACAAACCGGACAACAACAAGGGCAGCCAGGACAACAGGTGAGCTATACAAAGCATTAATGACAGGCAAATTATTATTATAAACAAAAACAACATAACACGAAGAAAATAAGTACACTCACTACAAAACTTAGAACATTCGATTCCTACTATCGATAACAATCGATATCATTACGCATTTACGTACATAAATAAATATAGCCACATATACATATATACAAGCTGCTGCACATTGTACATAAATATGAAAGTGTCAACAAAATGGTTACAACCACATTAATCCTTTCAACATTTTGAAGTTTTCAATTAATTAATATACAATTTAAAAGATTTTCAACGTTTATGTTCCCATGTATTTACAAATCAAGTAATACCACTAAATTCATGACCGCTGTGCATATGTATATATATACATGCATATACAATATACAAGCAGATAGCCAATAAAAGATCATTATTGTCTTTTTTTTTTAAATATAAAACGCCCAACACACACTCACAAACCGTACAAGCACTGAATACTATACTAACCCAGCAGGAATTGTTTGTTGTTGCATTAAATCGATGAATTAAAGGCACAAGTGTGTGATTTTCTTTGCGTTTGTCTCAAGTTTCTTTAGTTAATAAAATATAAATATGTACTCGTATATGTATTGAACATAACACCATTCGACTTTCGTATACACTATACCTGGAATTCCTGCATAAATTTTTGTATAAAATGCTGCTTAAACTTTTTGTAAATCGATATTTTGAAATGAGATAATTATTTAATAACGTTCCAAGCAATATTTTTCAGTTTTGATTTTTTACGAGCATAGCTTATTAACTTGTGAAATATTACATTGTAAATGTATATATGAAAAATTCGAATGGAAGCGTGAAAAAGACCACCGCTGACCACCGCTGACCACGGTGACTAAGGCAAAAATGCTCTGCAAGCTTAGATTTAGTCAAATGATGATTCTGTAAAGGTTCATACATTTTCTCAATTAATCGTTTTTAGTGGATTAAATACTTATTAAAAAAACCATTAACACATGGAAATACTTGAAAACGTGGTAAAGATTTTTGTAATCAAAATAATTAATTATCGTAATTTAATCATAATTCTAATTTCGCTTGCTATTTGTTGATGTTCCGATTGTAAAAACTTTAAGAAGATTTTCACTCTTCCATTTGCTAGACTTCTCTTCGGTCTTCAACTTTAACTTCTCTTAACTTTTTACTTCTTCTTCTTTAACTGACATCTGTTTACCCAACTTTTGAATTATATTCTGAAATTTAAAAAAGTTTCCTTCCAAGAAAAATGCCACTGTACCACAACATTGTCCATTTTTCTGCTTTAATTTTTTATTCTAATAAATAAGATTAATTAAATATTTTATTTTGCTGTGTTTCTTGAGAATAAAAATGTAAACTGAGTATTACTAATGAACAGACTTTGATTGCACCGTCTTCACTTCACAACCTAGTTGTTGCTTCCCACAGGTCCCATATTTTGAGCCCCATTTTACCGTAATTTTTTCAGAATAATAATAGAGTTCTGAGATATGTATGTATATAAAGTTTGGCTAAACTGTAAGCGGTTTAAAAACAACTAATGGAAAAAGCAGTAAGCCTTAAGTTTTTCGAGCATGCCTACTAAGTTTGGAAGAAACTGAGTATTGTTCAATGTTTATGTCATTTATTTGTTTTTGTGACTTGTGCACTGTTTTCTGGGATTTCATTAAAGAAGTTTATATAAGTTTTTGAAATGAATTGAATACTTCATTGAAAACTTATTGTACTGTTTATGGTTGATTGCCCTAAGTTGTGTATAGGATATTAATAATTCAAGAATATATCACTTATGTACTTATTTTCTAAATGCAAAACATATATACATTATAAAACTCGTACAAATCAAACCACTCGTAGTAAACAATCAATCAAGTAAACAATTTTTAACATTCAATCAAACAAAATCAAAAAGAAAAAATCAAAATCAAACAAACCAACATTTTACAACAATTTTCATAAAACCCAAACGCATCCATCTATAATACTCGCACTGCAGCCTGACGGAAGCCATGGCTTATTAGGTGGGCTGCTCGGTGGCCTCTTCTCAAAACCCACTACTCAGAGTCAAGTGAATCAGAATATCAATGTAAGTTACTCACCCAACAACACATAAACTTAAACACATACTTACTTACTAACTTGTCTACTTTAATGAATTACTTAATTGTTTATGTTATAAAATATTGATTAATGAAAATAATATTATATACCTAAAGAGGCATTGCTACATAATATACGAAATATTAGTTTTACCTATTTTTATTATTAAACACGTACAATTAGCGGCTAGTTTTGCTGGCATTAAGCGTCATCTCCATTTTAAAACACTGTTTCTTTCTGTATCGAATACATACTGATAACTGAATGCATTTGAATGCTTAACACCTAGTTAAGTTGTTTTGTTAATAAACAATATAATATTTTAGTTTTATACTTTTACATACATATGTATGTACAATATCATTAATTACATACTCATCATTATTACATTGTACATTTTGCTTGCGAACAGAAACCAGAAACCATATCACTTCTTACATCAAAATTACCAACATAAATATGTATGTGTGTCGCTTTTAGATTTAGTACTATTATGATCCTAGCGGATGTGTAGTATTTGAAAACCGAATCTCCTATCAGTTAACCGAATTTCCTACCAGTTACCCAATATAAGTACTTCAATTGATGACTATCATCAGTGGAAATATGGTCATATTTAGTTTTGAAACAAATGCAAATTTAATTGGATTGTAAATAGCTTAACGAGCTTAGGAATCTTCTGCAATGGACGATAATCGATCAAATTTGTTATAAAAGCTAAAGTTTCGAAAGAAAAATATACATATGCAAAGCCTTACATATTCACATAAATATATTCCTCTTATACAATAAAAATAACTCGGTAGCTACTTTCTTTATAAATTATTGATGTTCATTCTCAAATTTTGAAACAAGTAAGGGACTAAATCTGTTAATTTTAAAAATATGTACATCCTTCGTGAAAATCAGTGAGTTTTGGTATCAACTAGTTCAACAGCTCAGAATAATACCACTTAGCAAACATTTGTGCTTCCTTGTAATTTACTTACTTGTCTGATGTTGTCGCATGTTTGTTTCAAGGGCGAACAATAATCATGACACTTAACTATCTTCATTTGCTAATTTTCGACCATTTGCTTTTAAAAAAATTTGATTTGTGCACAGATTACTTTGTGTTTGGGGTTTTTCTAAAACTTTCGGCGTTGCGAGTACGATTATAGCGGAGTTGAGTAAAAAATAAAGGGTCTTCGGTTTTAGTGTTTTTACTCCAGCAAGCCATTTCATATCATGAAGTTCCAATAGAAAATGTAATCAATAATTGTAAACTCTTTGAATTTTTGCTAAATTCGCATAGGTAAATTCATATTTTGCTCAGCTTAATTTTATGTTTTCTGCGTGATTTATTTCTTCTCAGGCATTCAATGTCGAATCTAATTTAGTTCTGTACTTGTAGCTCTGTATTTCCTTTATTTTGAAGTCTATATCTTTCCCTATATAAAATATATATAAGAAATACTTACGACACCTCATTGTAATGTGATGTAAATTTTTTGGTATATTTTCGCTTCCCTTTTAATTTTGATAAAGTAATTTACATACATACATTAATTAATTTTTTAAAAAGCTAAATGCGATTCATTGCGACGTGACTAATTTTATGTAAAAATATATAAAACCGTAACATTAAATCAATCAAACTAAATTCCAAAATTTCTTTATAAACAAAATTCATGCCTGATTTATCATTGCTTAACAAAATTCGTTCGATTCAATTGAAACAACAACAAATGCTACGAAAAAAACATCTAATTCGACGATTCGTCCATCAAAAATTAAAAAAAAAAATTAAATATTAAATTGCGTGCACCACTTGCTATAAATGAAGGGCTATCAGCCGGGTACGGGGCAGCGGCCCATGATGCAGGGCCGACCACCTGGTGCTCAGATGATGGGTGGTCAACAACTTGGTCAGCAGCCTTATGGTCCACAAGGGCAAATGGGTGCACAACAACGTTTCCCAAGCCAACGTGGACCCGCTCCGGGGCAAATGCATGGGCAGATGCCCGGGCAATTGCAGGGGCAGATGCAAGGTCAAGGCCAAATGCCTGGGCAAATGCAGGGTCAAATAGCCGGCCAGATGCAGGGTCAAATGCCCCTACAAATGCAAGGTCAAATGGCCGGACAAATGCAAGGTGCTATGGGTCCTCGAGGCCCACTAAATCCACAACAACAAATGCAGCATCAGCAACAGCAACATCAGCAGCAGCAACAACAGCAACAACAACAGGGACAAATGGGTATCGGCCCCGGACAACAACCATTAAATCAACAACAACAGTTGACGGCACAAAAGAAACCACGTTATTTCGTCGCTATGTTCGACTATGACCCAAGCACAATGAGTCCAAATCCAGATGGATGCGACGAAGAACTGCCATTCCAAGAAGGTGACACAATCAAGGTATGTGGTAGTGGTGTGGGGTAGACTATAGTAGAATATTGGTATGTAGTTAATGTATAGAACTAGTGTACAGGGTGGTGAGAAAACATACTTTTTACAATTTTCAAAATATATATAAGAACGGATCAAAATATCACCAGCATTGGTGTTATGAGGTGAGCTAGTATATGAAAAAGTACGTGGAACACCTCCAAGGTATGAGGATTACACATATAACTACCACAAGTTTATTTTAAGATATTGATTTTGCCAATCGGAGCGAGAATGAATCGGTTACAGAATCGGCTACTTACTCACTTACATACATATACATACATTAAACAGATCAGATTTACAGTGATTTTTTACACACTAAACCCAAGTTGCATGCCTTAACCATTAGTCTATTGCTATATGATATGTAATCATCCGCTGTAGTCTTGTGTTCAGAATGAAGAAATAAAACAAAGACTTCCTTTTAAGTGTTATTGATGTATTTTTTATGATATAAGAAAATATTCCTTTAATATTTTTAAAATATTTCATGTATTGTAAGCTCTCATCGTGATCATGTTTAATCTACACAGGTTTATGGCGACAAAGACGCCGATGGCTTTTATTGGGGTGAGCTGCGCGGGCGTCGTGGCTATGTACCGCACAATATGGTAACGGAAGTGGATGATGGTACCGGTGGCATGGTCCCAATGCCGGGCGGACCTCCGCAGCCTGGTGGTCCGGGTCAAGTGATGCCCGGACAGGGTGGGCCCCAACAAAGTATGCGTAATGTAAGTCGCGACCGTTGGGGTGATATCTATGCAAACATGCCGGTGAAACGTATGATCGCGCTGTATGATTATGATCCGCAAGAGCTGAGTCCGAATGTGGACGCGGAAGTAAGTATGCATGATTTTCTGGTTTCTTTAAAAGGTTTTTTTTTTAAATTAGTAAATTTACGTGCCCTTTAACCATTTAAATATTCTATTGTTGTTATTGTTGCTTAGCGTAAGGAAACAAGTAGCGGTTTCCTAGGTGGTTTCATAGATGATCTTTTTGGAACTCCCCAAGCAAATAAGAAAGTTACACGCAATGTGAGTGATTCATTCGATTGTCTAGAGTTCAAAAACTTCCTATCTCATGGGAGCTCTAGCAACCACAAATTGCTATCGACCAGCATAAATTTTGAAATTTACCTAATTGTAATCTAATTTATTGTGAAATAGTTTTATATAGTAAAGCTCGTAATATATAAAACAGTCCTGTGAAACACATATGTATATGATTTAGTTAATACCTAGCTAGAAATTAGTTCATTGTGAACTCATCTGCAGTATCCACATAAGAAAGCGGGTTGCTTATTACCTTATTTGTGTCCACCTTTTTATTTGAACGACTTTATTGTCGTGCTCTGACAAAATATTATGATACAACTGCGTATAAATATCTAGTACGCTCTCAGAGACAGCCGTTAATCATCTTACCTAACTAACCAGAGTTCAATCTAGACATATATACGCTGTAAGAATGAATTGAATTATATGTAGATCCCACAATCCCACAATCCCACAAGAATTATATTTCGAAGATTGTAGAACGTATAAAGTCGAATATACTGTTATATTCGCTACAAACTTGCATTTGCTATATATGTATCTTAAAACTAACGAATGTATATTCCTTTCAAATTCACAGCAGGTGGAATTGAGCTTCAAAACGGGTGAGGTAATACTCGTTTATGGTGATATGGATGAAGATGGTTTCTATATGGGTGAACTGGACGGTATACGTGGTCTTGTGCCGTCAAATTTCCTCGCCGAAGCACCCGATCAGTACAATAATCAAATGGGACCAGCAGGACGTGGTGGCCTAAGTCAACGGGGTAGAGGACAAGGCCCTGGTGCCAGAGGGCCTCCGCCACCGCCCAGAGATAACATGATGCCCGGCATGACTGGGCAACGTGGTTCCATAGGCAAAAGTAAGTCAATTTTGTGTCAATATTTATGTACTCTACAAACACATGCAATACATAAATACATACACAATTATGTACTTATGTGTATTCTTACAACTTACTTACTAATTACTAACCAACATAAAACAGTGCAACGTGATAATATAATATATATTTGAAATGAGAAATGATATACAAACAACAATATACGTATACTTGTACTTATAACTGTCTTTTTTATGCAGATTTTTTGTAATTATAAGTTTGTAATTTTTATTCTATCTTCATTTTTTCATTTCATTTTTATTTGCCTTCGAATGAAACAATAAAATGTACAGTTGAAGGTCAGTTTTTACATATTCTTAGATTATTGCCATATACAAATCTACTTATTATATACAATATACATATTACTACTGAACTATATACTCTTAAGATAATCATATAATTCTTTAATTTATATTATGTGTTCCATTTGCAATTCGATTAGACTCAACAAAATTCTAGAACAAAAACAAAAAATGTTTATATTGACAGACATGGGTACTATAATATTCACAAACGCATTATGTGACCAAAGACATTTAACAACATCTTTTGGCATAACAAACTCAGGCGACTTAAACTAAAAATCCGAAGCTTTCATTTTTTTCAGTGCAATTTTTGTCACGCAAACGTCGCGCAAACAAACGATAGCCTGCGTATAAAGATATATTTCACACATTTTACAAGAAGCATAATACTTAAACTCGCAGATAGAACAAAGAATGTAAACTGATATGCCCGTCAATAACACAACAAAAACAAGAGAAAAGTAAAAAGTATAAAATACAAGCAAAAATTTGTAATATTATTTTAATGAATTCCCTTTCAACTAAACTTCGCTGAAATATGCGCACTACATATAAAATTCTAATAAAACATATTATAAAAACAAAAAACAGTAACAATTTGCAAATTTACTCTTTCCTAAGCTTAAACTGTTTCTTGATTCCAAAGTTCTTTTTTTCAGTTGTAATTCTTACTGTTATTAATTTTATCGTATGCAAGTGTTACTTTCATTCCAATACAAATACATTGATTTTACTCGTTCCAATTCAGTAAAAATAAATCTTATCTGTACATATGTATATTCCAATTTTTTCCATAAATTCTTTGTTGCACATTTTCATTATTTTGTTTAACATCCTTAAATTTATTGCTTTGTTTGAAAATAAAAAAGTTTGCGATATGAAAAGTTGTCAACATAAATTGTTGTTGTTCTTGTTGTTGGTGTTGTACTTTCTTCAGTATACTCGTATTTAGTGATTATAATTATTATCTTAAATATTTTTTGCCATGGTGCTGTGTAATGTCTATGGATGCGGAGGCGTATAGTTTATCCTTTTGCTGAAAACTTAAAGTTAAAACCAATTTGATTATTTGTTGTTATTTCTCCTACTTTTTGACCTGTAGCACTCTTACATATGTACACAAAGATAAAACCAATTGAAAATTCTCCTTAATTCCGCCATAATTCAAAATATTTTAACTTTTTTTATTAGTTCGGGTAAACAAAACGTTTTTGTTGACCCATACACCAGCAATTTTTATTTTGTTAAATATTTTAATATATATCGGTCAAATTTATAACTCTTAAACTCTCGCTCTTAATTTCCATTGTTTTTGAATTTTTGTGAGCGCCTTTCTTAAATTCCTCTGAATGACATTCCTAGAAACACATTATTGATTGAACTGCATTGACCTTGTAATATTATTTTTTATAACTCTGAAAAATATTTTTAGTGTATATGAGAATATAATAAGTGTCCAGCTATGATCTCTCAATTTTTGCAATTTTTAGTGCTGGATGAAATACAACTTTCTCGTTATTTTACCAACACAACCAGAATATATTTTTACTTAAGACGTTTAAATTTATCAGTAGCAAATGGAAGTTAAAATTTAGTTATTTTTTCCACAGAATAAAAATAGCGAATCATTCTTGCAGGTTGTGAAGTTGTGAAAGAACATTTGAAACTACTTTATTAATAATTGTATCGAATTTCGTATGATTTGTATATGTGCATGTAGTATCTGGAAGTTAAGAGTAGGCATGGATTAAGTTTGGAAGTTTCTATAATACCGTCTTGCTTTGCAATCTTTTGAGTTTTTAAAACAAATTAATAAATTGTAATATGTTTTTAAGATGTGTGAATGATATTTACAAGAGTGCGATCAGTTTCCTAAACGTTGTCCACTTATTAAAAAAACACCAATTTTATGGATGTCAAGGAGATCATCGATAATTTTTCAACCACGAATTGCATGAATGTTAATTAATTAATTACTTTTGAAATTAATATTTCATTAGACATTGTAAAATGGAGTCTCGTGGTCTTGCAGTTTATGTGCTTTAATATAAGAATATAATGAAATTAAAAAATATTTTAGTCAGGCATATTATATAGTTGGACAACTTTTTTTCTAAAAAGAATTCCCTAATGCATATAAAATCGTGTAACAAAAGAAATCTTAACTCGAATAAAATACTTCTTAAAATATGCTGAATATGGCTTGTTGTTGCCGCTTTGAAAGATCGAAAGGGTGGTGTTGTTTGGAATTTCTTCGGTACTAATTTTCCAATACCGATTTATCCATCTTGCGGAACGCCGATTTTGAGATGTTCTTTTCTGACTCGCTGTGAATTTTTTTGAATACATTTATTAGCAAAAACTCGGTCCAGCACCTCAAGACACCTTTTCTCCAGTCAAAGAAAAATATTAGAAAAGTATTTTAATTACACTAAACGTTTTTTTCTGTTATTCAGTTTAAAAAAGGGACGAAATAGTCGTATGTATGAAATTGTATATAAATCTTAACTTACTAATTGAATATCTGTTCAAATTAAAGAAATGTTACGATTAAAATGTACCACATATGTATGCTCCTATTTATACCCCTAATTTTAATAAATATATACATGTGTAATGACTTCATTTAACTTTCCTTTTAAATATATGTTTATATATTTATTTTAATTTTTTATTTTTTATTCATGTTGGTATGTTATGTAGTTGCTTAAACTAAATACTCAATGAAGCAAGGGAAATTAAGAGCGCAATTTGTCAGTTGACTGTTGAAAGTTGATTAGACATCCAATTCAAAATATCAAAAAACTAACAATGGAAAATAGAAATATTAGCAATTAAACATCTGAAAAATCAAGTAATTAAATGAAACAAGTAAGGAATGACTAAGTTCGGGTGGAACCGAACACTTTATACTTTTGCAACTTGCAGGCATCAAAGCCTGGGAAATACCTTAAGGTGCAAAACGTCAACCAGAAGATCGAAATCTAGGCAATTTTATATATACGTATACTATATATACATAACTCATACATATCGACCCGATTTTATCTATTAACTATTATCATGCCACATACGAAAAAATTGTTCTCTGGGTTTCATTAAGGTGGAGTAAAGTCAGCCGGATGTTCGAAATTCCTGATATTGGTTATATGGGGAATAGGTCAAGTTTCGCCCATTTTAGTTACAAAGATACACAGGAAAAGACGCTCTCTCATTTTCTTTGAAATAACTCAAATATTGGCCGATATATGTAGTACATATAAAAACACCTAGTAGTTGGAAAATGTATGTACTAGGTAGGTAGGTTTTTGATACACAGAATTACTATTGTCAGGTAAGGATTCTCCCTGAATTTCAATTCAATATTCCATACATTGACCGATATTTTCGGTAAAAAGTTAATTATTGATAGGGGGGTCCACATATTCGGCTTGAACAGCTTTGATTGGATTTGGGCAATTTTTATCCGCAAGGTTTTCCCTTAATAACGTTGTGTGGCAGTAGACCGATTACGCCCATACACGAACTTGTTCTTTTGTTTTACTAAAGAACGCGCATACCAGTTACCCGGATTTCAACTTGCCCCTTCATCCTGATCATTTATATATACATATAGCCCTATATTTACATATCTCGATTAGTTTTAGGTGATACGTACAACTGTTGAGTAAACAAAACTATTATGCTCTGTAGCAACATGTTGCAAGAGTATAAAAATAAATTGGTAAATTCATTGAATCAATATACCGTTAATTAAAATATACTATATATTTATCAAAATCGTTTTGAGCTTCTTCTTCCAACATCTGCTTATATTTTTATTGGTAGTCCAAAATTTATTATGCTGTACAATACATATAAAGATATAGATAGCTAGGTTAAATAGGAATTTCTGGTTTCCTAATCTTTATTTTTAGTAGAGCAACATAACCAACAAAAACAACAACTTATGCTTTATTGACAGAAAAGTAAACTATATCTATCTTGCCTTCTAATATATATTCACATATTTGCATACACATATGTGTTAAATATCAGTATCCATCACATATAAAAGTTAAATCATTTGTAATAATGTAGATAAACTAAAAATCTGCAAGTATTACTATTATTATTACTATCCTTAAATAATTAACATTCAAAGCTATTGACCAAATGAATTATGTCGAAAACTGTAAAATACTATATGAATATTTGCTATTGAAATGTGAACAAATTAATTGTTCGTGAAGTCTACCTACATGTGCGAAGTAAAGGTAATACAAAGTGTTTAATTTTCTGCAGCTTTATGTTTACTATGTAAATACATGCATTATACATTGACGTGCCTCGGAATAAATATTAAACGAATAACAACAATAAGACTACAATTAGGAACATTTATTCCAAAAGCCATCTCAATTGAAATTATCTGGTGTGAAAGTGCATTTAAGAAGGGATGCACCCAAGAGTAGTAGAGAAAAAACTATTTGCATCGATGACTTAGTAATTATCTGCAATGAAAAATAATTTTTTTTGCATCCAAACACAATCAAAATTAAATGTATTTTCATTTTGTTGCTATTTCCGCATTTTTCCTTGCCGTTTTACATTTTTCAATAGCTTTTATTTTTGATGGCCCAAGCAATTTGATTTAAATAATTTGGGGGGAGTAATATATAAGGGACGCAATAGAAACATTTGTGTATGTATGTTCCATTAATATGAATATATAAATTTACTATTTAGCTGCAACATAAATACATTCTAAAATAATAAAAATTATTTAAATGCAACTTTGCGTAAATGTACACTATAAACAAAGGTATCGGTGCGATAAAAATGTGATTATGTGTAATAAGATGATTACTTGTATTCGGAAACTAACTACAACAACTAAATGTAATATTACTAAACAAAAATGCACTAACAGCTCATAAACGTGAATATAATCAATTGAATGGTCATTCTAGCCGGTGTCTGTCCAGTTACAGTTGTTTTCATTAACAATGAAAAAACAATTTATGCAACTTACTTACGTGTCTATCCTACTACTATTAAAGTATTTATTTTGTTATGACTTCAGTCTTTGTTTAATTGTTTTTTCTTTATCCTAGTTATAAAATTGATCGAATTATTTATTCATACATATAAATATAAGAATGTGCTTTATTTTGCAAGAATTGCTTTTTTACCAATCAAATCAGAAGAAAATCACATTAAAATAGGACAAATGAATCCAATTATAGGGAATCAGACATTGGTTCTTGATCAGTGGCTAATTAAAAAAACGGAAACTTAATTTTTTTTTCAAATAATTTCAAAATTGTATCATTGTATTGTATTAAATATTAAATATTAATTTGTAATTTACTTTTCAAAATTTACACTTTCATTAATTTGTTATTCGAAACTTGAAAGTTAAGTTTAGTTTAGTTTTTTTTTGTAATGGTCTGCTGTGGTAAATGTGAAGTCTTTATGTTATATTTGTTGCTATAGATGCTCGCCCTGCTTCCCCTACACTGTTAGACAACACGGGCCTCCCTGCCCCCGATCACCAAACGCAGGTAAATACTCTTTTCTCTTTTTTAACGAAAAAACCCATTTCTTCTCTACGTTCGTTCATTCTATTTCGTTTTCTTGTCTTATTTATTAAGCAAAAACAATATCTATAAATATACATGTAAAAATATAACCAGAAAAACATTACTATGTCACCATTCCCCACTCTTTCTACTCCAACCAGTCCATTTATGCTCTCTTTTTATTATTAACCAATATTTTACTTCTAATAAACAATTTTTGTGTTTACAAAATATTTTTATTATATAAATTAAATTGATTTTTTTTATAATTTTGTTAATCCACATTTTAAGTAGTCTTGGTATAGAAGACAGGCTTTGGAATTAAATTTGTGTAATATGAGCATATTTTCAGATCGGTTGCTGTGCGAAGCCTAAACATTTCTCAGTCCTCAAATTCTGAGCATATTTGACAAATAAAAATGTTCGATACTTCAAAAGTGCTTCATTCAAATTTCTTTATATTTTAACGCTAATCAAATATTATAGAAGAGGACAAAGGAGAATACCTAAACAAGGAATATTTTAATATTCCTCGATCCAGCAACTGGTCTGAAAACAATATTTTCTTGTTTCATTGATTATTCCGTTTTGTATTTTATTTTTAATTTTTTTCTGTATTTTACTGATTTTCTTTTATTCTTTATTTTACAGTTTCATAATTTCTCAACTCAATTTACAGCACAAAAATACCAAATCGAGAAAAATTGCTTCATTAAAATAAAATTCGTTAATTGCGAAAATTGGAAAAGAACAAAATATCAGTCAAGCATTTAATAGAAATATATATAATATATAAATACGAATACTTATCAACCAATATGGTCATATTGTCAGAATACCAATATATATATATATATATATATATATTTATATATAAATTCAACAAACAAACAAATAAAATATGATATAACAACTTTATGTATAACTAGCAACATTTTGAATAAACTCTTGTAGTTACCATTACCAAATACTATATTCGTACTATATTTTTTCACAGTAACCTATTTGTTGATATTATGATAACCAGTAACCCAGCAAACGTTCATTTTGTGCATTTCGAAAACATTTTAACTTTATTTTCCACATATTGTGTTTTCGACTGTCATTATTTATTTGCACATGTATACCTCTTTCGTGTCTTCATTTAATATTTTTATTATCATTTAACATATGTTTCAACAATCACTTCATTCTTAAGGCCAAAATTCTTGCAATTGATTCATAAAGACAATTAGTCGTTTTCTTGGAACATATAATACGAAAATATTTTGTCTTACGAAGGCTCTTCATTTCTAAGCCTTAAGCACTACTGGTGTAAGAATAATTATTTTATGCAATAAGATCGACAATCGATTGAAATTCATACTTTTCTCTCACAGTCCACGAAAATGATCAATAGCAACAAACGAGTTCCACAATACCGCAGTATTCAATGGTTCATCCATTATACTTTACTTCCATAAGCGGTAAAGTAAAACTTCAGAATTCTGGGTTGAAATTGGTATAGACCGATAGAGGAGGTATCCAATATAATAGATTCGGATAAGAGAGGTGTTAAATAAAATTGAATAATTATTTGATGTATAAGTTTCCTAAATCAGTGAACTTTATTGGCATATCAAGTCATGATATATCGGTTTCTGCTTCTACCCTCAAATAATTTAATATTGACAGAGACTAAACCTTACTTTATGTATAAGAAAAAATTAGGCCAGGTAATGAGCTAAGATAACAAATTCAGATAGGATACGTACTACCGGGTTTTCCAATAGGGATGATATGATTTCTATGTGTCGTTACGGCAATTTTTAATAAGTGAAGATCTCTAAATTTTTTTCATTGTATTCAGAATTTAGTGAAAATGCTTACAAATATATAAGCAAGAACAACGTTTAGAAGTTATTCAATTTTATTATTAAAATAATCTTATAGGAACTAGTTATATCGTTGTTGTTCAAATACAAATACATACATATACGTAGTTCAAATTAAAAAAAAGAAATTCAAATATGTAGAAAATATTTAAATTTCCTGAACAATTCGTATGTTTTTATTTATAAGAAATCATATCAATCTTATTGAAGACTCTGCAAAAAGATTGTAACAAAAGTGGGTAAGAGTCAAAGTATATATTTTTTTTAATTTTTGTAGGATGAAAGAAACTAATACTATGTATACATGCATATGTATATTTCTCATTTAGAACACGACAGTCGCACCATCGCACTCAATCATTAACATCTACTACATGGGCACTTAAAAATCATACAAATATTTTAAAAAATACATATGAATATATTTAACAAAGTGTAAATACGAAAATCATTTACATAATAGTTTATTAATTCTAGTTTGAAATACAATTATGAACCCTAATAATTAGTGAAAATGCTTCCAGAACCCCAAAACATGCCATGTAATTATTAGACTTTTTAATTGACAACAAATAACGAAAGCAAAAATAATATGTATTTTGTATAAATAGTTTATGTTTTATTTTTGGTGAACGTAAAAAATCTTGTACTCGTATTATTATTTTTATTATTATTGGATGTAATGTTTGTAATTATTGTATTATGTGATTCACTGTGTAATGCGATGAATATAATCTATGAATTTTATTTTTATTTTTATTTGTTAGTGTAATAATCTTATTCGTTCCTTTTGAGTTTTTGTTTTGATGTGTGGGCTGTGTAACTGTTCAATATCCCCTCTTAATTTTACTGCGTTCCCTTTGTAAAATATCCCTTTTTAATTTCGGCAATTAGTTTAGATTATTTTTGTGCAAATATCACTAATAGATTTGTACGTACTTTGACACTCAGTATTATTTATTGTAAGACAGTTGCTTTTGCATTTTTTTATTATGTCTCTCATATATGCATATATTTTATTTTGCCTCTCCATGTGCTCCCTTTCACTTTTTCTACTTGTGTAGTAATGTTATGAGACCATTGGAATCCCCACTCATAATTTGATTATCATTTGTTATTAATATCTACTCCTTTTTTCAAATGCCGTATTTTCTAAATTTGGTTAACCATTGAATTTTATTTTTTATTATTTAGAAAACAATTCTAAAAATCTTTTCTCCTATCGCTTTGACTCTTTAATTTTTTTATATTTTGTAAAGAACTGCGCCTCGTCTGCAATACAGTAAATTAAACTAGAGTAAAAATCATTCAAATAAAATTCCATAAACTATGGTATATAATGCAAAATTTGTTTCCAACATAATTGAGTATGCATATGCGCCGGCTGTATTCAGTGCCAAGAGATTATAAACATGTAGAATTTCAAAACAAAAAGTCAACACTCGTACATCAAACAAGTCACAAAAATTTAGGCGTAAGCCCTCAGGATGGCTAATGAAAGTACTTTCTACATATACATATATACATACATATTTAGGTAATAGTAATTGCTTCTTTTAATTCTTTTTTGAAATAGATATTTTCTTGCTTTTGTTGTTATTAATTTTGAAAATTAAAAAGAAAGTACAAACACTTAACCCGTCAACTGCCACCAATGTACCATGCGCCCACCAAACTCACCACCGCTGCCACAACTCTCACCATCAACTAAGCGCCTCGAATTTTAGCGTCGTTCTTCAAATTTTCGCTCATACATGCATACATACATTTATACATACTAACTTACATACATATTTACATATCTTTCCAATTGTTACATACTCGTATATACCAGTTTTTAACATTTACATACATACCTATAAMCTTATAAATAAATAATTACGAAATCGCTTATATGCTTTTGCTGATACATACATACATATATACATAAATGTCCAGACACATTTTGATAATTGAAGTTAAATATTATAATTAACATGAATATGAAGAGAAAATACAAGGCTATATATATTTTTGCCTACGATTTAGTAATTTAGTTACTTTTTATGAGTTGTGAAGTTTTTCGTTTGTCAGTTCGTATACAAACTATTTACATATTTATATTTCAATATCTTCACCTTGAGTTATTTTCTTCTTACAATAAAGCCTACGTTGTTCTTAGTATTTATAAGAGTTATGAAACTAGTTTCTTTAGAGTGTTAAAAGTTCGAAAATGTTATGAAAACGTTGCTAGTTCTACATAAAACCCATCTTCCCAATGATCTTCTATTAACTTTTATTGAAGATTTTTAAAATTTTCGATTTATCAAAGCACTAAACGATTAAAAGAGGTCAACTGAAGAGTTTTAAAAAAATAATAATAGATTAAAATAAAAAACGGTATTTTAATGTATTCATATTTTGTGTTATGGTAAAAATAAATAAATGATTTCTGTATTTTGATATTAAATGTGTGGTTAACAAGATTTGTGTATGGGATATATGTATGCACGTATTTACATTTGGCATAGACATGCCATTCGAATCGCATTCTGAGAACTTTTCGAAGTCTGTCTGCAAATTTTTTCAACATGTTCCTTTGTTTTTTTTTACGAATTGTATTTCGAAAACATATGAATTGAACTCAGCAACCGATTCCTCAGTCGTCGAAAAATGTTCATCTACGATATTTTGAAATATTCAAAAGTATTTTTGATGTGAGAGCTTGCATTGCATGGTTTTTTATAATTGTCCTATCTTCCTTTCCAAGCTCACATATTTCAGATTGAGACTAGGAATTAAAATGCAATTCACTAAAAATGTTGATTTATTTCATTTGAGATGGATGTCGACTGTAATCATTGAAAGATTTTTTAGCGAAGTGAGACGTAAGGGAACAAAAATTTGCCTGCTGGGCTTTCTACTAGTTGATTTTCTCCCTCCCTCGTCGCTACTTTTCGCAAATTCGAGCATAGTGTAGATACAAGTATAATGGAATTAAACGGCGACTAACGTTCTCTGACCATGAATGATGTTTCGGAGACTGCATACTGGCAAATATAGTGCAAAAGTCATACTGTAAATAGAATAATGATATTAGTAATTTAGGATGTTCTGTGAATCGGGCATCGGAAATTTTGTTAACCACATTAGACGTTATTTATTTCTTAAATGTTTTAACATTTGCTTAATTAATGATTTTGAAGCTAGTCTATTAAATGGCCACTATCGAAGAAATGTTTGTGGTAAAGATCCTGTACTTTTCGACATATCGAGCGGAAATATAGTTATTTTACCCTTTAATTAACTAATAAAAAATAAAAAATACGCGTTCCAAGTTAATCACTAACTAATTTTACCTGTAATTCCTCAATTATATTCTTAATTATCTCTTTTGATCTCCAATTTTCTAACCTATGTCAAAATCTATCTAATCGCCCACCACTTCCTCCTCGTCTTACCCTTGAGATAACGAATTATGAAAACCTCTGTCGTAGATCCAATATGAAAGCATGAACACTTTTAAACATACTAATCTGATAATTTGTGTGGACATTTGCAGGGGATGATCGGTCGCGGTGGTAATGTTGGTATGCAACAACAACTTCAACAACAACAACCATATGGTCAGCAACAGGCACAGCAGCAGCAACAACAGCAGGGCATAATGGGGCAACAACAGCAGGGCATGATGGGGCAACAACAACAACAGCCGATGGGAGGACAAATGAGCCAAATGAACGCTATGGGTCAGATGGGGCAGATGACGCCACAACAGCAACAGCAACAGCAGCAACAACAACAACAACAACAACAGCAGCAGCAACAGCAACAACAAATGGGTATGGGCGGGCAGATGGGACAAATGGGCCAAATGGGTGCGATGGGGCAGCAACAGCAGCCCGGCATGATGGGCGGCCAACAACAAATGGGCATGGGCGGTATGGCGGGACAACAACAACAACAACAGCCGCCCGTAACGACACAGTCATCTGGTGGTCTATTTTCCGGTGCTACAAGCCTACTCTCAGGTGCTACTTCGGCTGCCACCGGTGGTCTATTTGGTTCGAAACAACCACCGAAACAAGATCCAATGCAACCACCAATCGGTGTGCAGCCAATGCAGCCAGGCCAACAACAGCCACCGCCGCAAGGACAACAGCCTCCGCCACAGGGTCAGGGACCAGGGGCGGGGCTGTTGGGCGGACTAAAAGGTATTGCAGCGGCGGCGCCCGGTGGGGATGTGCTTTCAAAAGGCAAAGATCTCTTCGGAAAATTCGGATTCGGCTTTGGCAAATAACCCCGGTCATTTTGTAGGACATTTCTATTTATATTGTATCTAAATTTATATTTATTATTAACTAAAAGACGAATACAACAAAAATCACTACTATTATTATCGCTTACAAATATAAATAGTAATTACAAAAATAATGAATATTATAAATATGATTATGATTATAAATCATACAAAGCAATTGATTGCAATGGTGATTATAAAAAACTAACGGTACTAGTATTTTTTATCACATAATATACATAAGTTGACAAAAATATGCAAAGCGACAAAAAACTGATAGTAATATTTAATACAATTATTCTTTGTGTTTTTCCCCCTTTTTCGCGGGCGAAAAAACAAAGCCATATTTTACATACATACATACGTACGTACAATATGTGTATATACCGAGCGGTTAAGAGATGACCATGCCATGGTGTCTTTTGGCATAGAGCCACAAATAATTGGTGGGGTCGCCGCCGTATCGAGTATGAGAGAAAATGGCGATGGAAGAAGATCTTGCGCGCTTGAAGCGAAAGCGTATAAATAAAATATGCGGATATCAACCCAAACACTGTAAAACAAAAGCTAGTAAAATTTAAGTATACCAAGTTACACGGAAAAACACATGAATGCCCAAACCGATCACATACACATATACAAACAAAAGAGAAATGTTGAAAATACCACTTATAGCTAAGTCAAAAATGCAATAATATTCAACAAGAAAAACTAAAGAAATCACCTTGAATGGCGTTTATTAAAATTTATATGAAACTAACTCTTAATATGTAATTTATTTGAATTCTTCGTGTATTTACATACAAACGTACGTACATATATAAATGCATACGATATGTTATCTATACCTAGCTACACATATACACAACATATATAAATATAATAACATACATACATACATAAATATATCCAGGCAATGCAAATAAAACTATACATACTGCATACACAAAGAACATCTAGTAAGTTAGTAGTTAATAATATTAAAAACTACAACAAATTATATATATAAATAAATATATGAATATATTTACAAGAAAATAATTATTTGTTACGCACATTGTTAAATTTGCTACTGTTGCTGACCAGTTTATAAATAAAACAAATTGAATATATAAAAAAAAAAGYCAAAAATATATGAAGGGGAAATATGATAAAAAATTAATAAAATAACATATAATAAAAACATGCTACTCACTAGGTATTATATGAGTGTACGGGGCAAAAAAAAGTATCTAACCAAATTATATTATACATATTAAAAAATTAATGGAAGCGAAGAACCCAATATTAAATTCAAAAGAGGGAAAATTGAACACCTGTAAAATGATTCGTAAGGACAAAGAAGTGATGGCTTCAAAAGTGCGAAAGTGTACTACATATAATATGTACCAGCATATACACACTAATGTATAATATATATACATACATATATATAAACAAAGGTAGAAGTGAGTTAGAATGATATAAGAAATCTGCTTTAAAAGTAACACTTAAACTTAAATGCTAATACTTTAATTGATACGTACGTACATACATACATACAAAAATTTAGTTAAAGCTATTTCCAATTGATTAATACTAAAGGGGTGAGTTTAAAAAATTTTATCTAAATACCAAAATTTAACAAAACATTTGTAAAACTAATGCAAATTGATTAAAAACAAGCAAATAAAAAATAACGGTTTTCGTTAGTAAATTGTAAAAGAAACCTAATTTTTCCTAACTTTTGCTTATTCATGTTATACGATTTTCTTTTAACATCTGAGCATCAATACAGATGCTAAAGGCACTCTAAGCATTATAGTTCGAAATTGAATTAATTTGGAAATAACTGTTGCTATTTTATATAATTTTTTCAAACAATAATCCTTCGGAATATATGTATGTAAATTCACTAATACACATACACATTATAGTAAGCTAAGAAGATATACAAGTATGTATGCATGTAAGTGAAAGAAATTGAAAACCGCGTCCTAACCTCGCATTTTTTACTTTACCCATAGTTGACTGTTTCTTATATTAAAACTTAAATTAGTAGCCATAACTTGCGGCATCTTAAATAATCTCTACAGCTTTTACACTTCTTCATACAATAGGCATTTATGAATATTTTAAAACTAAACTTTTGATAAAATGGTAAAACTGTGGCATAAAAGTTAAAGAAAAAGAAGGTTGTTTGAACACCCTTTCTTATTTTCGAAATCTTAAAAATATAACTTTAAATGTACTAAATGCCATATATGTCATTTGCTTTTTATATTATTTTGCCTTCGACTTCAAACTTGCATGGTTTTTCAAACACTTGAACTCATAGCTTGATAAATGAGACTTCGAAAACCAAACATTTTTCTTAGAAACAAGGGTTAATATGGAAAAATTATTAAAATGAAAAATCTGTCGATCTTCTCAGATAAATTAATTGTTGTGTTGTGTTTTCGAAATTGACGCTATTTTTAATTTTGAACATTATTTCTTAAATTTTCGCATTTCGAAGCTATAAATGTTTTTTATTCTTTTACATTTTTATAAATCTTCATATCGCAGCAAGCTTTAGTAGAATATAGAAGCAAGTATTAAACAATGACAAGACTTCTCAACAATTTGATTTTTTCGTTAAAAAATCTGTTTTAACTTAATTTATTTTCAATTTCACCGTTATGCTAAATGTTAAACTTTTGAAATACAAAAAAGCACAAAATTTCGAAGAACTGTAGGAGATAAGCTTAGCATACATACATGCATATACATATATTATTAAACACGTTCAAAAATAGCTTTTCACTTTAATTTGCTTTCTTAACATACGCATAAGTATACATATGTATGAACATATATGTACGTATATTTAGAAAAAAAATGAAAAAATTATCTGCCAATAGCTCCGATCAAACAAACTGCATAAATTTTCGCATAAAGCAATTCCATTTCTCAAATATTCGCAAAACAAAGGAACCAAAATACTTTAATTATGCATACATATGTACAGAAAAAGAAATTTATAATCCAAATTGCTAATATGTATTAATAACATATTATAACAATGAAGAAACCCGGAGAATATGCAGTTCAAAATGCTTCTAATGCAGTAAATAATCAACATTATGAATATAGCAAGCTGCAACTAAGGAAGTACATATGTATATTAACATGCTTACCGTCACTTTCTCGCACCAAAAAATAGGCAACATTAATTTAAAATAATAACTAAGTGAACATGCCACTTCGAAAGTAACTGTAAATGTCAAAGTCAGTAACTTCATTTCTGGAGATAACACTGAAAGCAGTCATATGAAATCAGTTAGAATAATATTTAATTAATTTAAAAATCATAGGCATACACTGATGTTATGCATATATACATACATACAAACAATTAGATAATACCTACAAGAATTTACAAAATCACAAAAACATGAACGAAAATACCAAATATTTTATGTACCTATTGTATCACTTAACAAACAAATAAATGAAGCAATGAAGTAGGGAAATTGGGATGAAGAAGTTGGCAAGGAAAAGAAAGCACTGAGATAACAGGTCCAGAAGTAAAAGATACACACATGCCACATACATATATGTACATATAATTGACAGGAAACAAGACTTAAGCAATGCACAACACACTCACTGACATACAAATAAATCAAACAACAATATTCTTACACTACATTATTTCTGACTCTCATCATTTTTTCTTGAATTTTGAAAATAAAAAATAACCATTACAAAAAGAACAGTTAGAGTGATATTAGCATTATTTGCAAAATCTACGCAAAGTTCTCACAAACCACAAAAAAAATGCATGTTGAGCATATACACATGTAATTGCAATAACGATTACGAAAAACAATATGTCGAAAACAAACCATTCCCAACAACAAACCGAAACAATACAAATAATATTCAATCGTTGACTATCCAATGTTGCCCACAAAATGTAAAACATGTTTACACCTAAATTTTTTATATACTAAGAGAATTGTTTAATATTCATATTTACTTAGTCAACGCAAAAGCGATATGTTGATAATAAGCAATGAAAACTAAATACCGTAATATGTATAAATAGGATTTACATATGTATGTGTGTACTTACTCAAAAGTGGTTTACTAAGAATCCTTTTAATCACGATCACGTTATTGCCAACTACATTTCTAAAATTATATTCATCTTACCACTCACAGCTGGCAGTTAGCTGGCAAGCCAAGCTTTAAAATTTCAAGAAATTTTTTTATTATGAAATAAATGGCAGCATTTAAACGATATCAGCTCAAGATATCGCACTTACCAATCCTATTAAACATACACAAACACGTATACACTTGTTAAAGTCACGCCCACTAGTCACTATATCTACTTACATATATACTCGTTGAAAGCATAGAACGCAACCTTTATAAATTCATACAAACATACAGATATACCAATCGCCATATGTATGTAAATTCTCACTTACAATCATACATATGTACGTAGTATTGCAGATTGTTCACGTGTTTACTTACGCATACATACATTTACTTACACACATAAATTACAATACTTAGCAAAAATGTCCCTAGCAAAATTTTGTTTAATAACTATTTACTATGAAATTACTACATCGCGAAAAAAACTGTCGAATACTTTCACAGGTTATGAACTTATCACTAACTGAAAAATAGTCAAAGAAATTAGGCAAATAAACGGTGAATGCATACACGATAATTAAAAATTGCATAATATGTATAATAACAAATAAATCTAAAATAATAACTATAATAACGATGATGATAATGATGATAATGATGAAACAGACAATTGTTATACGGTATTATTATACTTTTTCTATAACTTATAATTTATTTAATAAAAGTAAATGCGAAAAAATCGTAAATACATAATTGCAAAAAAGAAAATATTGCAGAAAAATAATTTCAAACTTTGTCTTCTTCAAATTTGAGCCAGCAGTTGATATTGAGCTATGCAAGATAATTTATATTTTTTTATTGGAACAATATTTTCTTTGAATTTCAATAATTGAACGCTAATTTCGATAAAAAGTCAGCTGTAGGTACTGGGCTCCACATATTTGGTACTTGAACAATTA